GGGATCGAGCCCCACATCGGGCTCCCTGCTCAGCGGGAAGCCTGCTTCTCCCTCTCCCACTCCCCCTGCTTGTGTTCCCTCTCTCGCTGTGTCTCTCTGTCAAATAAATAAATAAAATCTTTAAAAAAAAAAAAAATCTGGCACATGGATACTGAGTATTTAACCCAGACTTAAATATTCAAAGTTGTTGTAAATTGGCAGATTTTCACAGTTTATGCAACTGAATAATACACTTAGCAAGGCCTTTGTTTTTAGTTTTTAAACCATTCAGACTAAAGAATTTTTTTTTAAGATTTATTTATTTAAGAGGGAGAATGCAAGCAAGCGTGAGCAGGGGGAGGGGCAGAGGGAGAGAGAGAGAATCCTGAAGCAAACACCCCACTGAGCGGGCAGCAGTGCCACCCAGGCTCCCCCAGGCTAAAGAATTTTAAAAATCTATTCTCCTACTGGCTCATTTCTACTACTCTATCTCAAGTTCACCATTTTACATCCTGATATTAAGATCAGTACCATCAAAATACTTGACAAAAACTTTGCCATCCACATTTAGGTTCCACTATTTTAACTGAAAAGACTAGGATACATGATGTTAGAGGGCAGAATTTCCTAAAAAAAAACAAAACAACAACAACTATAAGCCATGGGATGAGAGCAGAGACTGTGGAGTCAAGTAAACCTGAGTCTAAATCTTAACTCTAATATGAGGTAAATGACCTTGAGGAAGTCACATAACTTTCCAGAGCTCAGTTTTCTCATTGGTTAATGGAATAAAAACCATAATTACCTCATAGGCTTCTTAAGGAACTCAAATAAGATACTTTAAGTAAAATACTTAACCTGACACTTAAAAGGGCTCAATAAAATTGATGTTATTACTTCTAGAATGAAAAGAATAATACCCACTTTATTCTGTCAAGTGGTGGGTAAATAATTAATGTACCACACCCTAGAGTTCCTAGCACATGATAAACACTGATGGCTAGTACTAACTTTAAATCAGCCCCTCTGAACAGTTCATCTCTCCTGTTCTCCAAAAAACTGAACACTATGAACTGTAAACTTTATATTACACAATTTCAAAACTTCTTTTCATGTTTCTAATCATGATCGTTTGCTTCTATGCTGCTGTAATTCAGGGGTACACTAAGTTTATCAATTCTCTGGGCCTCCAGTTTTTTATGAAAAGAGGAATTGAGTACATTATCTCTAGGGGCTCTCTGAACCTTAATTCTATCTTGAATCTCATTGTTGACACAGGATTACAGAAACACAAATCCCTTGGCGTCTATTTAATTCTTCTTCAATGAAACCACTGTTACACCAACCAGTCTGAAAGAATGCTTGAGGGTGAGGCCTGTGCCTTCTGTATCCATCATACCTAGCACAGTGTCTTTTTTTTTTTTTAAAAGATTTTATTCATTTATTTGACAGAGAGAGGCACAGTGAGAGATGGAACACAAGCAGGGGGAGTGGAAGAGGGAGAAGCAGGCTTCCCACTGAGCAGGGAGCCCGATGCGGGGCTGGATCCCAGGACCCTGGGATCATGACCTGAGCCAAAGGCAGACGCTTAACGACTGAGCCACCCAGGCACCCTAGCACAGTGTCTTATACTCAAATCAATACACATTCAATGAATTAAATATGGTGCTTAATAAATTAATTATTAATAAATTAATTATGAATAAATAATGACAAAGATGTCTGAATACCTACAATACTTTCAGGGCTCAAATGGCTCATAAAATGAATTATCAAGCAAATACTAAACAACTGTAATCAAATTAAATTAAAATATTATTCCAAACAGAGCACGTAATTCAGGAGTGTATTAAATGAAAAGTTCTTATACGCCCTCTCTTGGTCAACTGTTGGAATAACACCGAATTAAAGCAGAAAATTAAGCAATCATAAAGTAAATTGAAAATCTTTAATTCAAAACTTAACTACATAATTTGAAACTTACAACTTTTGAGACCTTTTTATGTAAGAAATACTGTGAAGACTCACTAGAGAAAAGGAAGTCAAGAAAAGGAAATTAGTGGAATTAACAAATGAGAACCTGAGTTACTGCTGGAATCCATTTCCTTCTGTAAAATTTTTTTCCAACAAATATTAAAATTTAAGTCTGCCTAGCACTCTAGTTCACTGTTAGCATTCTAAAGAATCAAAACTAGTTAAAACCTTTTAAAAAAAAATGAAAGGCATCCAGGATCAACTTTTATCATTTTGAAAGTCAAGTATCATTACTGATATTTATTATATCCTTTCATTTATTGGGAAGCTCAAGCCCTTTTAGCTTCACTAGACCTCTGTACAGTGGATGAAGGAAGGTAGGCCTGAACCAACTCTCTAAAGTGCTTGTACACATAACAGATATACAGGTGCCCACATTATGGTGAGACTGCCAGGGTCCAAACGGAAAGTAGGTGGTATACTGAAACTAGCATACGAACTTCATTACTCCTGTTACTCTCGTGTCTTCCATCTACCGCTACTTAAGGATTCAGTTTAAGTATCACTTTTCAAATTCTTCCCATAGTCATTAGACATTGAAAAGTAAATTTACAAAGTAAATTTTAGGATTAAGAATTCAGATAAACAGTACGTGAGTTTCTTTTTTTTTTTTTTTTTTTTAGTACGTGAGTTTCTAAAGTCACAATTTAAGGGGCGCCCAGGTGGCTCAGTCGCTTAAGCGTCTGCTTTTGGCTCAGGTCATGATCCCAGGGTCCTGGGATCCAGTCCCACATCAGGCATCCTGCTCAGCGGGGAGTCTGCTTCTCCGTCTGCCTGCCACTACCCCCAGCTCGTACTTGCATGCTCTCTCTCTGTCTCAAATAAATAAAATCTTTAAAAAAAAAAGTCACAATTTGAGAAATAATACTTCCTACTTATTGCTCAAAGTTCATTTTGCGCTTTAGTACAAGGTATACCCAAATCCCAAGTGAAGATAATACTGGCCTCTGGCTCAACATGAGAATATCATGTTGTTATATGCATCAAGGTAAAAAATTCTTTGTTCCCAATTTACTTCTGTTACATTAAGTTAATCCCACACTTGAGACTGACTAAAAGAACATCCTCCATCTTGCTTCAATTAGAATCTAACAAAAATGACAACCAAAAATGTCTCCAGACATTGCCAAATGTCTCAGGAGGCTGGAGGTAATGAGTGGGGGCAAAATTGCCCCTAGTTGAAAGTCACTATTAGCTAAAGTGACAGAAAAAAAGGGGGTGGGGGGGCAAGAGCTTTTGCAGACTAAGGAGCATGACTTCTCTGTTCCAAAAGGTTCTTGTTATCAATGTCATACACATGTGGATAGTTAATAAGCCAGATTTTCGGGGAGCCTGGGTGGCTCAGTCAGTGAAGTGTGTGACTCTTGATTTCAGCTCAGGTCATGATCTCAGGGTCCTGGGATAGAGCCCCACCTCGGGCTCCGTGCTCCATGGGCAGTCTGCTTGGGATTCACTCTCCCTCTCCCTCTGCCTCTGCCCCTCCCACCCCTCTCTAAAATAAATAAATAAATCTAAAAAAAAAAAAAAGAAAAAGAAAAAGTCCAGAATAGGGATTCATAAAATTATATAACTTCAGGACTAAAAAGAGCCTTAGGGATTATCCAGCAAAATCCTGTATTACATAGATGAAAAGACTGAAGACAAACTGCTTAAGTTGCTTGCTCAGAGCTTCCAAGTATAAGTCAGTGCAGGACAATTTAAGTCAACAAACATTAACAAAATATTCACTTTGTGCAAGACCCTAACTTGGAACTATAAAGAGAAATAAGAACTGTCCCTACCTATCCAGGGTATATAAGCTAGTAAAGAGCACAGACACATAACATGAAGCCACTGTTTGAGACACACATGCTAAAAGGAGAGATTAATTTCTTTCCTTTTCAGTGAGATCTGAGAAATCTAAATAAGAAACATTTGAACAGGGTTTAAATAATTAGAACTCATATTATAGACAGGAAGTGAAGGCACAGTATGAAAGCCAAGAAGCAAATAAATGACAGCATATTCAGATGAAGTAAATAAATTAGCATAGCTAGGATGGAATAGTAAGAGATAATCTAAAAAAAAGCAAAGTATAGACAAATCCTAAGGGGCAGTGCCTCCCATTTTCTTCTTTAGCCCACCTCTTCGGTCCTTTGACTGAAGAACTGGAAACAGAGCTAAATATAATGGGAACTCAGTAATAATTTATAATGATAAAAACAGTAATGGCAGCTAGAATCTAGGGTGGGACTGTTATACGCCATGCACTATACTAAACACTTCATATGCATTACCTCATTTAAACCTCATAAAAATACTATGACATAGGTACTAATATTACTCTCCTAGCATACATAAATACTAAAACTTAGAAAAGATTAATAACTTTTCCAAAATCATAGTTTAAAAAGGGGATTCACACCCAACTCGTCTGTCTCCGAAGCCTATAAACTAAACCAAAATAAATTCCAACAAATGTGCAGATCAGACAATTTACACTCAGATTATCAATCTCCAAATATCAACAGCTGTACTGCAGAAGAGGGGAAGAGGGACAAGGAGAAGGTGGCAGAGAAAGGCTCCTTGACAGTCCTGACTTAATTGCATTCCCTAACCTTAAAAAAACCCATTTGTCCTGAGGTCTAAGAATGCTCTGGAGAATACAGTATAAAGCTTTAGAACTTCCAATGATTAGGGAGCCTTAGGAAAGTTATTTTACTTTGGGGAGCTTCAATTTCCTTGTCTGAAAAATGGGTGTAGCAATACCTACACTATGCAAGTTGTTATGAGAATGAGATAACGCATATAAAGCGTTTAACACAATGCTAGACACGTTGTAAAGCGCGGTTATCTCCAATACAGTCCCTGCTCAGATAACCAAGTAACCAGAGAGTTAACTAGAAAAGTCGGACGCTCCCAACACGGTTGGGAGAGTGTAACCATGTTCAGAGATTATTTAGAAAAGAGATTTACAATGTCCCCTAACAGGTTATCCTGATTCCCTCAGAGCTATTATATACGGCGGCGGAAAGATGGAGTGACCAAGCAGAGACTGGCTGTCTCGTTCGCTTCCACAGCCCCAAAGCCTAAATGCTGAGGGTGGCAGACAGGCCCTCAGTAATTGACAAACCGGGAAGGAGGCCTTGAGCCCTCTGCAACTCCGAGGCGAAAGACTTACCCTAAGGCCAGCTTCCCCCTCAGATTCTGTATCCTTAATGCACCTGAAACATTAACACAAGCGGTCAATTCAGACTCCCACCTCCACTCCCTTCTACCACGCCTAAACCACTGAGAAATCCCTACCCTACTCATCCGTACCCATACGTTCCAGTATTGCCGCCGCCATCTTTCTCCCTCCCTCTACGGAAGCCTCCGAGTTCATGCACTGTGTGGACAAAGCGCATGCGCAATTCTTAGGTGCTCCCTCCCCCACCCCCCACTGTGGGAGACCTAGCAGTATTTACACCCGGGATGCTGTCATGGAGACCGCGAACACGTCGCCTGCTCTATAGGCGTGATCCGGCCAGCCTTGCCTGGGAATGAATGACTTTAATAAAGGCCAAAACTAGTGAGTTTCTGGACATTCATCGAGATCCAAAAAAATTGAGAAACTTCGGGGCGCCTGGGTGGCTCAGTGGTTAAGCCTTGGGCTCAGGTCATGATCCCAGGGTCTTGGGATCGAGCCCCGTATTGGGTTCCCTGCTCGGCGGGAAGCCTGCTTCTCCCTCTCTCACTCCCCCTGCTTGTGTTCCCTCTCTCTCGCTATCTCTGTCAAATAAATAAATAAAATCTTTTTTAAAAAAAAAGAAAAAAAGAAAAATTGAGAAACCTCACCTCACAAGGGGCCGGAAAGATTGGGAAAAGAGAGGTGGGCCTCAGTTTTCTTCTGAGCAAAACAAAAACAACTATCCCTACAGCACAGGCTTGTTGTGAAGATCACTAGAGATCGTGTGGAAAGCTCTACAACGTACAAACAGCTCGAATACAAAGTATGAGGTCCTAATCCCTATGTTAATCTCCAGGTTGACCTCCAAGAGATAAATTAATACTCACTGGCAACTTGCTACCATATATGCCCGGCAGGCGTTTCACTAAATCTATGTATTCCTCACAGCAATCCAACAAGGCATGGATTATCATCTTCCTTCAAATGAGGAAACAGATCAGGATAGGTTAAAGTCTCTCCGAAAACTGGCAAAACCACTAATTCAATCCGGGGCTGGATGCCTCCAAAATTAGTGCCCCTACCCACATCCAAATATATGCTTGACCTCTTTACATAAGGATACATATTTCAGGTTTCGTTCACTTCCTATGCAGGACTGCCACATGCCCTCTGCAAAGAAGCAATACAGGAGTAGGAGAGTGCAAGCGCAGAATCCGAAACTTTCATTCCTTTCCTCCACAGCAGTTAACCATATACAATTCCCTTCACAGAGCTGGCACGCAATCAACAGTTACTCTATTCCGCTCCTCTTTGAGTACTAAGACTCTAGAGCCAGAATTTCCACCCAGTTGCCGGAACTAACTCTTCCTTTCTTTTTTGATTTGATTCAAACTTTTATCTTTTTGTTAACTGGCTTGTTGTAGATGTCTTTAAAGAATCTCCAGAACTGGCAAAGTGCCCTGGCACATAGCGTTCAAAAATACTTGATGGAATAGTGGTTGAACCGGTCCAAAAAATAAAACGGCTGTGCGGGGAGGTGACTCCACAAGTCTAACGCCTTAATTATGTACTTTGCTGTAGGAGGTGAGAATGCCTAACCCCCAGGCTAGGCTCCGGCAGCACCAGACCTTCTCGCCACGGGTGGGACTGGGAG